ATGATAGATCCTGCTATTAATTTCAAAGATCTGTTATCTGTGGTGTATATGTCCCGCAGAGCGCACATCAATGTCAGAGTGGTCATCTGCAGAAAGGTTAGTAAACTTTTAAGATGCAGTTTAAGAATAGCAGTATCATTATACCCTGAATAATTCTTAGCTTGAATATTTTGCACAAGATGTAAGTTTTAACATCTGTCATTTTATAAATGAACAGTCCCCCTTTTTGAGGTGAATTAACTTCATGTAATCACAAGGAATCAGCCTATGGATTTCTTCCTCTTAGCTCTGCATGGGCTCCGGGAAATGTGTGCTTTGCAGAGTCAAAAAATTGTAACTGGAGAGTAGTTTCTTTATCAAGAACCTTCAATGATTGTGAACATTTCTAATTCATGTACCATATTTTAGAGTTTCTGAAAATTTTGAACTTTGTGGGAAGAATTTTCTGCAATTCGTTTATGAGTATTCCAACAGTGATTTGCACTCAGTGCACCCATTTGACTTTTAACTGAGTCAAAGAATGGTCATCCCGTGTGCTTTCTGCTCATTGTAACCTTCTCTCTCCTCCCCTGGAGCCACTGACCTGCCTAGTATTCGCTTCTTTATCTTACTCCCTCATTATGTCACAGTATTTTTCCCTCAGTAAATCTGCATATATATCTCTTTCTTTAATGGCTACATAGTTTTTCATTCTATGGCTGTTTATAAAGTATTATCTGGTTCTTTGTTGATGGACATTGAGGTTGTTTCCTGTTTTTCCATGTTAATAAACTTCTGTTAAAAACTTATTTTTACATATACCTTTACTTATGTACGTCTGTAAGACATAATCTGTGAAATGGAGTTGCTGTGTGAAAGGCACATAAATTGATCCGTTCCTTTCAGTGTGCAATTAGAAACAGCTTTCAGTGCAGCCTAGTTTTATCCATTTATATCTATAAAATAGACATAAAGTAAGTCTTACTATATGGAAATTTTAAAGTCATGAAAGGTTTCTTTGCCAAGCGAAGCTTAATCTGAAAGAAAAAAATTTTTATTCTGCACCAATAGAGTAATGGTTTCTCATTATTGATAGCATTAGTGAAGAAAGAAATTTCACGTCATTGTGATCTGCTTTCTGCATCAACGTCAGCATACATTAGAACCATTAATATTGAAGTCCCTACCAACATTATTCATCTCCTGCTGTGAAACTTCTCAGAGCTAGAAATTCTGATAAAAGAGACACTCTAAACACTGGGAGCCAAAGTTCTTTTCATCTACATAGAAGATATGTTCTTTTTGGGTGAGGACATTGTCCTTGAGCTAACAGCTGTTGCCGGTCTTCCTCTTTTTGCTTGAGGAAGATTGGCTCTGAGCTATCATCTGTGCCAATCTTTCCTCTCTTGTGTGTGTGGGACGCTGCTGCAGCATGGCTTGATAGTGATGTAGGTCCACGCCCAGGATCTGAACCCGTGTACTGGGGCCACCGAAGCGGAGCGCACTGAACTTGACCACTACGCTGCTGAACCAGCCCTATCTACGTAGGAGTTTATTGGCTTTGTGATAAAAATGTCTTAAAGATCGTAACTGAATTTCTGACAGTGTTTGAGAACTTGTTTTTATCAAAAAAATGTGAAATCAAATGGATAACAGAGGTCATACTTAGTGCTACGTCAGTGTCTACTCTTTAATTTCAGCTTCTTAATCCAGCTAAATAGCAGCATCCGTCTTATTGGAATTAGTTTTTTGGAATTAAAAGTTTAGTTTTTGTTTTGTTTGTACAATATAGCGTTAATGAAAAAACATGTTTTTGCAAAAGCAACCATCAACTTTGCCTGGATAAAGAAAATGAGATGAGAAAACTTTATTCTTGGGGTTCCTAGGGTCTGATACCAAAGTACCAAGACACTTTGATAGTGTCTTGTGTGTCCTGTTTCCTCCTGTCCCCAGTGCTGGAACTTCGCCTGGCTCATGGTAGATATTCAGTGTTTGCTGAGCAAATGTGGTGGCTCGTGGAAAGTTGTTAGTTGAGAGGACATAACTTTATTACACTTGATGCAAACTTTCATTCTATTTATATTTCCTCTCTCACCAAATTAAAGTAATAACATGAGTGTGTTGACATGTGGAGGATCATTTTCTTTTTTCCTTTTTTATCTTTCAGCAAATATTTGAGTACATCCCTACTCTGTACAATGAGTAATATGCAGATTAATTAAAAACACAATGTCTGCCCTTCATATAGCTTATAATCCACTTAAGAACATAATCTTTTGAAAGTATATCCTCCCAAAGTTTCTCATTGTTACTTTGTCATTAAAATAACTGAAAAGAAATTGTTTTTGATGTAAAATACTGTGTACTTTTTGACGAATTTTGTATTCTTCATCTCTTTGTAGATTTTACAGATTTTACAATCCCAGCCAGATGCAGCACATCAAATATCTCAACAAGTGGGTTGGCAAGACACTTTAGTTAGGCTTTTTTTAAAAGCAAATTTTGAAAATGGAAATACTCTTCATAAGCACAGTAGGGCTGTTTCAATGAAAGACAATGATAAAAATATATCAGCTGACGATAATAAGAGGAACTTCGATGAAAAGATGGATGAGGAAAAAATCAACTCTTTTGCCTCCACTAATGTGTCTTCAGATCAGTGGAGTCTGGAGGATAGACGCTCTCTAGACTCAAACACACCATTATTTCAAGAAGATAGCTCTGTGGGAGAGTTGTCTTTCAAATCAGAGAACCAAGAAGAATTCTGGCATCATAGTCCTTCACACTTGAGTTTAGATCTCAGTAGAATTGACTCCTGTGAACTGAGTGACAGTGGAGGTCAAATGCCAGACAGCCTGCCTAGCACACCATCCCCCATAGAGTCTACTAAATCATTTTCTGTGCCGTCTGACAAAGAAAGCAGCATCACAAGTGACACGGGCTTCAGCGATGACTTCTCTTTACTTGAAAGCCAGGAGGTAAAATTCCTTATCTGTCCAAATGCTCTTTTTGTTTCTATATGTCTATGTATACTTC